AATAAAAAATAATTTTGGTCATAAAATAGATATTAATGATCCACTAGTTAGGGGTCGTATTAAATTTGAAATCTAAATAATAAACTAGCCAACCTAATCAGTACGTTACTCAACAGAAAAATAAGCCAGAAGAAAATTCACTTGGTAAAGGCAAAATACACGCATGAACTACTTGATGATCTCAATAAAAACAAAGCGAATTTCTACGTACGGCTCGAAAAGCTGATCCCAGAGATCGTGAAGCATGGAAGCAAGTCGATGTGCTGCATCCACATGGTCAATATCAACGCCTGAGGCAGGGCCATCAGTTGGCCTTGAGTTTGCAGACAGGATCGCATCAGTTGAGCCAGAGTTCGGTGATGGGACCTGGATCCAGGCGAGAAGAAGGTCCAGTCCTGGGCACCAAGTGTCGTGCAGAATAGCCAAAACATAAGGGTCAGACACGGGTGTGGCAAGGGACTGGTCAAAAGTTGCAGAAAGAGCGAGAGTGTGTCGAAGGCAATCAACAAGTGGGTGGTCGGAAGATAAGAGAGGAGGTAAAGAAGTGCTTATCGGTTGATATGATTCTATGTCGCTTCCTAGCACATAGAGGAAGTCGATCGGGCGGATAGTGAACGGCATATAGACACCTTGATAGGAAACGTTAATGAGAAGAAACGAAAAGGGAAGATATGAAATTACCAGATCCGAAATATGAGCCAAATCAAAGACAGGCAAACTACTTTCAAAAAGGTAAGTAAAGATTAGCTTGAAAAGACAAGATACCCTTACGTCCCAAAAGAAGCTTTATCGGTAGAACATTAAAGAAAACTTTGGCATAGTCCAAGGAAACCAATAAAGACCAAAATGCGCAAAACCATGAGAAATGCAATAAAATACTTTATTCACCATATGATAATGAACAGGGGCGCAGTTAAAAAATCAGAAAGGAAAACAAATAGATGTATACATACTGAGCACACATAACATCAATGCTCTTAAAGGAAAATCTGAACGATTTATGCTAATGGAAGGATTGAAAGATGATTCTCCCACAATGAAGGGAAAAAAGAATCATTACTAAATTTAATCGGATGGTGTGGCCCTTTGTATGGTCGCAG